GCACTTATTCATTCCCAGGACTAGCCTCATCATGACCCAGGCATTGACCTCTTTTAACAGTTTGGGTCCCAGCTCTTTGGAACCTTCCCCAAGATGATATTCCCAGCCCCTATTCTTTCTTCTCATAGTTTTAAGGAAAGTAGCTGTTTCTCTACCTGAATTGCACTTAACACCAGGAGATTCTGAGGTTTATTTGATCATGTCCATGTCCTTTAATAAAGCACCGATCTCCTTTCCAATAGGAAATGATACAGTAGTAATTCATAATATGAAGTCACATCACAATTAATTAAAAGTGTCACTCTTGTTGATGATGTAATGAAGTAATCCTGAGAATCAAGTGCTTTCAATTCTTAATTTTTATAGTAGTTATGATGACTACAAAACTGTGGATAGTTGGTCTGCTTCTGACTTCACTGGAGAATCAACAGGCAGAAAAGTATAAGCTCAAGGAATTTCATTCTCAGTTCAGGTAATAGGGAACAAAAGAACTTCCATGGCAGTCACAAAAGAATTTCTTTCTTCTTGTAGCCATAAGGTTGGCACCTAAAAAGTCCATGCAGATTTTAATTGTGCCTATTGTAGAATTACAATGTAAATCAAAATCTTGCATTGGCTATGTATCTCATGAGAGAGTCAAGACATTAATTGGGAAGAAAAGTGAGGCTGAAATGTGGACGGCGACAGCTGAGTGGACTTGAGCAGTGCTGAGAATCTTAGAACTCTAAGGCTTTCTAAGCCTTTCTAAGTAATGGAAACAATCCAACTTCCTGGATATGAGAAAACACTCCTGCTCTTGAATTAAGACCTGTCAGTAATCCTATCAGGTAAAAAACTGCAAATCAAACACTGACAGGCTGATAAAAAAAAAAAGAAGAAGAAGGGTAGTAGAAGAAGGGTGTTATTGTGTCAACTACAATCATGTAACTAATTACAGATATGGAAGCTATAGAAGGTATGCATATTTTGTTCCTTGTTTGTTATTACTTTCATAAAAATATATATAGCTCTATGTATCTATAAAGATCACATGGACATTTAAACTAGTTGATATTTGTATATATTAAATACTTTCTTTGACCTCTTTTCTAAACCCTATCCCCTTACTGATCTATATAAAGGTCTTTTCATCATAAACAGGCTTAGAATGAAGTATTTGGGAAACAGATTATTCAAGTGGGACTGTGATTATATTAGAAGATTAAATGTCAACACTTAGGAATGGATGCTGTTATTGTTGCCCAGATATGGATATGATGGCTGTTTGGGTTGTGTATATCTCCTTTTTGGACAAATGATGAGAGCATTTTGTTTTTCTGAAAGAGAGTTTCATCTTCTGATTGGGAGTGAGTACACATATATACAGAAGTGAAGGTATGATACCAATTAACTGACAGGATGAAGTATGTCTGTTATTAAGCATTTTTTGTCATCTCCAAATCCAATCTTCTATACTTTATTTTGTGATGGTGGGCCTGGGAACCCTTTAATTTTCACTTCTTGTCTGCCACTGACACGTTATTCTAGTAGAAGGTGCTGGAGGAAGATTAGAAATCAGGTGGAAAGGGAATGGAACATTCTCCTTTCTATTGATTTGTTTTGCCTTTTAATTCTAACTGCAAAAACAGTTAGAATCTCCAGTGCTTTGCATTTCCAGAGCCAGCCTCCTGAAGGTATCAGTTGCAGTCAAGCAGCACCTCCTCCTTGCGAGGCTGATCTTAAATACGCAAGTGTTCTTCCACATGTGGCTGGGATTGTAGCAGCACGTTGGCAGATCACAGAGGTCTGAGACCCAGCCCCAAGGTGACCCTCCTCCGATTAGCTGTGATTCCAACATCAGGCAGGCAGTACCCTGTCCTTGGAGTTCTGATTCCCAGCTCTGGGTTTTCCTTCTCTGAGCTGCTGAGCTACTTTCACTGTCTAGGTGGTGTCCTCTCTACACATAATGGAGTTCAGCTCTAGAAGGCCTCTTACCTAACTTCTACGCTCTATGAACACTACCATCTTTCTTTTCATACTTGCTCCTGTAGTTACTACCTCTATGTTGCTCATTTATCAGTTTTTTTTTCTAAATTAAATTCTCTATTGAAATACCTAATCTGGTGTCTGTTTTATATGGTCTGAATTTGTGCTGACTGGGATAACTCATGTCCCCATTCAGACTCAATTCCTTACCTGTTTAACTGGTAGGTGGTTGTAGAGGGATTGTACAAATAATACCTAAGGTGATGTTTCCCTAATTTTTTTTCTGGGGAATACTAGTCTTAACATTTCTTCCCTGAAAAATAATACTTATGGCCAAGGGGACTTGGGAAATGTTAAATACTATAGCAATCTGTGAGAGAATCATAATGCACATAAACATAAAAAAGGCTCTGAAAAGTCCAGTAGAAAAGAAACTCATTTTGTTCTGATTAAACGTTTCTTCCCAAATTATTTGACTAGAAAAACTGTTTTATGTTCAGTTAACCTCTATCACCACTCCATGACTTACATTGAGAAATAGTCTTCTTGAGAATCCTTAGCAATTCAGAAGTTTTATAACTTTATGAATATTTAAGATACTTTTATTGAGGAGTAATCTGCCTCTAATATCTAATGAGTTTAATTGGTCTTACTTATCTGTTTCAGCTCTAAGCATAAATGCTGACTGAAGGTAATGTCCTTTGCAGTAAAATGTAGAATGAATGCTGAGGAAGGGGCAGGAAGGATGTCAGAACACCAGAAAATTATTACAGGAAATGAAAGATGAGATGAGAAAACTCTGGAGGGGATTAAAGAACAGTCACACTGGGTTTGATGAGGATATGTATGGTTATGGTTATGTGAACAAGCTATGGATTCACACTGTGTGGGTGTGACTCTCAGTTATATCACCTGAGTGCCACTGGCTTTTGAAGAAAATTCTTTATTTTCTCTGTACCTTGGTTTCTTATTTGAAATGGAAGACTGGGGTGCTTGGGTGGCTCACTAAGTTGAGCATCTGACTCTTCATTTCAGCTCAGGTTATGATCTCAATATTGTAAGATTGAGCCCTGATTTAGGCTCTGAGCTTGGTGTGGAGCTTGCCTAAGATTCTCTCTTCCTCTCCCACTGCTCCCCCACACTCCAACTGCCACCTCCCTCACTCTCAAAAAAAAAAAAAGAAAGAAAGAAAAAAAGTAGCTGGAAGATAATAGTGATATACACTTTACTGATTTGTGAGGAAGAGTAAATGTAACACAGCATATAAGATGATTAACCTCTGCCTAGTATTTCAGGTACTTTCTAAAACAGAAACAGGCCCTATATAATTAGACTAATTTAATTTCCATAGAAAAAGAATAGGAATGAAACTAGCATAAATTGTTCAAAATGGAAGGACCTCTAAAGGGCATCTGATCCATCCCTCTCGTCCTATAGCTGAGAAGAGAAGGAAGTCTCCCAGAGACTAAGAGGTTTGGTCAGGGAGCTAGTTAATGGGGATGTTGGATGGAGTTGTCTGTCTCCTCATCCTTTAGCAGAGAGCTATTTCAATTAACTTGTAATTTGTAAGGCTGTAGAGTTTTCCCATTTTTCTGTATTAACTCAAGAGTAGTAATCTCAAAATGTTTTTTCTGCATTCATAGCTCAGGGTGATCTCAATGATATTTAAGTCCCAACAACAGCTAATGAAGGGTTTATCAATTTGGACAAACCACATCACATGCTTTTTCCTAATCCTAGGCTCCTGGAGTGAGCTAGAGTGAATATCAGGGAGAGCTGGGATAGCATAAAAAGAAAAATAGTCTCATTAGTTTTTTCAGCTTTATTGAGGTATAATTGACAAAACCCAAGGTATTTAAAATGTACAATGTGATGATTTGATATATGAATACATTATGAAATTATTCCACACAATGAGTTAGTCAATTAATATATCTATCACCTCACATATTTACTTTTTTTTTTTTGCTGAGAACATTTAAATTCTACTTTTGCCAAATTTCAGTTAAATAATACAGTGTTATACTGTAGTTATCATATTATACATTAGATGCTCCCATCTTATTTATCTTATAACTGAAAGTGTGCTGAGTGAAGCAGGAAAGACATGAAAGACCAACTCTTTGAAGACGAATTCAACTCTTTGCTTAGAGTGAGATGACTGAGACTGCCTGTCCCATACCTTCTCCCTGTCAAAATTGCTGGGGACATAACATTGCATAGAGGTGGCCGCTTCATTTCATCATACTTACAAGAAAACTCTTTTCCTTAGCTTTATTAACCAGTTCCAGAAAACCACATTTATTGTTGTTTTATTTAGTGGCATACGTAGAAAGGTACAAAATATGAGATATAACCACAGTCACAATATAACAAGGTTTCCTTATAGTCTCATTTTTTTCCTACAATTTCATGGAATTATGATGAGCATATTATTTTTAAAGGAGCATCTAATGAGATAAAACACCACTGTATTGCAGCTTAACGCTAAAGCTATATACATAGGCATACTTTATTTATTGAGGTAAAGTAGCACAGCAAGGTTAAAAACAAATGGCTAAGCTCAATATAGGCTTAACAATGCCACTGAAAACCATTTTACTAGTACAAAGGCCTTCAACATGCTGGCCTATTGATAAATATTTAGACTATTTATATTTTGCTCTCTTTGACAACTAAGCCAAAATAAACATATTTTAAGGCAACCTTTGGAAGTATCAGCATTTCTTATTTTATCTTTGTGGTTAATGCTATTCACAGTGACAATTAAAATATTGAACATTGAAGGACAAAGATTGGCAAATTCATCTTCAGTGCATCTTATTCTCAGACAAATTTTTAAGTCATATTTTTCAACAACCTTCAACTTCCGGTTTTGAGGAATAACATTATAGTTTTTTGGCCCATACATGCGTTTTCAAAGCTATGTGTTACAGGTTTTCAATGTTCAGAAAATCTTTCATAAAATTCTTAATGCTATTTTTAAAAATTCAGAAAATGAGAACTTATAGAATAGAAGTTATCCTGGCTACAAGCTATTCAACACTGCTGCTCACTTCCATTGTGTCTTTGGAAAGATAAACTACCCAGTATACAAGGTTAAATCCAGCAAATGCAACAGGGAACAGAATCCGAGAATACTGGTCTATTTTACTGGTGCCTCCAAAGGCTGGAGAGAGTGGTGGTGGTGTGACAGGTGTTGACTGTAAGATGGGAGATTTAGGGAGGACTTTGCTGGCCTCAGGGGATGGAACTATTGGCAAGGTCAGAGAGGTGATTCTTTTCTTCAGATGATACTTTGAATCAGGATGCTGTAGGAAAAGATATAAATATTCAGCCTAGGTAAAAGAGATTACTTACCCACTTTTTCATCACTGACAGATATTTATTGACTACTTACTATGTAAGATAAAATACTAGCAAATTGCTAATAGTATTTGATGGTGCTACTTTTCCAAGAAAGTGTTGAAACAAAAAAAAATGATTTTCTTCTATACAACATCCTATAATTCAATCCATCAGCAATTAATGCCAAGGATATTCCACATCCCAGAAACTGTGTAGAGCATTAGGCTGTTAGGAAGAGATGAATCATGTTATAAAGGCTTATCTGCCCATTTTCAACTGCTGATGATGCATAAGCCTAAAGGTCAATGAGTGTGGGCAACGAGATGGGAATTCACTTTGGAATATGTGGACAATTAGTTAATATAAGAAAATATAGTGGGGCGCCTGGATGGCTCAGTTAGTTAAGCATCTGGCATCTGCTCCAGTGATGATCTCATGGTTGGTGGGTTTGAGTCCTGCATTAGGCTCTGTGCTGACAGTTCAGGGCCTAGGGCCTGCTTTGGATTCAGTATCTCTCTCTCTCTCTCTCTCTGCCCCTTCCCTGCTCACACTCTGTCTCTTAAAAATAATAAACATTCAAAAAAAGAAAATATAGCAGTTCAGTTAGTTGATATCATTCTTCTAGACTACATCCTTATCATCACACATTCATAAATTTGAACCAGCTGAGATGTCAACAACAAAAAATAGTAAGGTGCTCAGCCATGTGAAAAACCAGTGACAAAGTACAAAGTATCAATACCTTTAAACTGTATGAGATGACGTTCATTCCTTGAAATATAATTGCCTCTTAAGCCTAGAAGTATTTTTTGTTGTTTTTTTTTTGTTTTGTTTTCATTCTGTATATTCTTTTTTTTCTTAAATAGTTTATTGTCAAGTTGGTTTCCATATAGCACCCAGTGCTCATCCCCACAAGTGCTCTCCTCCATGCCCATCACCCCCCTTCCCCTCCTCCCCACCCCCGTCAGCCCTCAGTTTGTTCTCAGCATTCAAGAGTCTTTCATGGTTTGCTTCCCTCCCTCTCCCCCACTATTTTTCCCCTTCTTCTCCCCATGATCCTCCATTAAGTTCCTCTTAATCCACCTATATGTGCAAACATATGGTATCTGTCCTCTGCCTGACATTTCGCTCAGCATAACACCCTCGAGTTCCATCCATGTTGCTACAAATTTAAGCCCAGAAGTTTTATATTGAGAGCTTTCTGCTTCCCTTTCAGAACTTCTCCACTGGTCTCCCTCCATTCTGAATCGCCAAAAATGATTATTGACTGACCTCAGAATTGTTATATGTTCTTTTTTTTTATCATTAGAAATCATAAGACAACTAACTTTTGTTCTGAAAGAGATATTTAGCATATTAAATGTTAGGTGAGAAATCTAAGTTCAGAGAGTGGAGGTGAAAATGCCTCTCCCATAGTCGCACAGCTATGGCAACAACTAGTAATAAATTACACTGGTAATTTCAATGCTTATTTCCTCACCCCCACATTTTCTTGTCTTTACTTTGAAGTATTGGGTCTAGTTCATAAACACTAATTCTGTTTGCTTTAGACTCCTTTCCTACTGTTGGAGACTAGGGAGCCTTCCTCTGATTTGTATCTTTTCTTGTCTACATCCTATAATAGTCACTCTTCCTGTGGCCAGGTTATCCTTGCTGGGTCTCTGCCTTCGAACACTTGCTGTACGTTATCTCCGTTCTTGTAAAACTGCCTTATTTTCTCCCTGGCAGCAAAATCACCACTTTGATGCCTGGCAGGGTATGCTATTCACGTGGGCAGACTCCTGTGGCTTTAGCCAGCAACCCCGCGGCAACAGGATGAGGCAGCAGCCTCCTCTGTGCGGGTTGAACCACAGGACCAGAATGACCTGCCGATGTGGTGACATTTGAAGTGCAAGAAACAAGAATTTCAAGAACCTCTTCTCTCTCTATTCCTCTTCTGAATTTTGCTATTTGATTTGCCATGGAATTTATCTGGTATCTAAATAATAATAGTCATCATTGAGAGTTCAAATGCAGTGTGCTTTTAGAGACTATGGAAAAATCTCTTCACCAAAACCGAAAATAAACATAAATGAGTCTCTATAGTCAAGTCTTATTTCTCATGCCCATGTTGAATTTCAAGGAAAAGAATATCTTTATTTGTTAGGTGTTGGGGCAGTATTGTGCTGGGCACGCTGTACAGAATTAAATAAATCATAGGTCTTGGGGGGGAAAGATAATTTAAAACAGTAGAGGTCTCATTCTGCTAATCTTAGATAGGAAATAAGTGACACTTTCTACTAAAAGCATGTGACAGATGAGGACTACTGTGCCCAAGGTCACTAGTTAGTATGTAGATAGGACCAGAGTAGCAGTATTTTGGTCTCAATGTATGCTGCCTGTCTTAGGAAATAAACATAGTAACCTCTTTCAAGAGCTTTCTATCGTGTTTCTTAGATTCTAATTCTAATTTTCAGCCATTAAGTATGTTACTGAAATATTCTCTACATGAAAGAGCAAATTGTAATACTGTTGCATTTTCCAAAAAGAGTTATCCTCCTCCCAGATAAATGGAACATTAAAATATTTTACCCTAGTAAAATTTCTTTTTTTTTTTTTTTACGTTTTATTTATTTCTAGGAGAGAGAGAGAGAGACAGCATGAGCAGGGGAGGGTCAGAGAGAGAGGGAGTCACAGACTGAAACAGGCTCCAGGCTCTGAGCTGGCAGTCAGCACAGAGCCCGACGCGGGGCTCGAACCCGCAAACCGCGAGATCATGACCTAAGCGAAAGTCGGACGCTCAACCGACTAAGCCACCCTGGCGCCCCTACCCTAGTAAAATTTCTAAGGATCATGATGGAGAAGAAAGAGGGCAAGCCTTTAGATCAGATTCTCTTTTAAAACTCATCTTGATTTTAATGGCATGCATTGCCTGTGTTCATTTCTTTTTCTAAGGAGAAACAGGGCAGACATAAAAAATTTCACTGAGACAAAAAATATTATAAAACATAATCTGCCATAAGCATGTAAGGCATTGCATTATCTTTCCCTCTTTAGAGCTGTGTGGGCAAAAAGTTATTTGTCAATCTTTTGGCATTGTCACACATAACTTAATAAGAATTACCAAATGACCTTTGTCCAGAGTTAAGCAACATCACTTAAGACCAAACATCATGAAAAATTTAATGACATTCACCAGGAATTAAATATTTCCCATTTCCTCATCTACTTCTCCAATCTCTATGGAGGCTTGCTGAAGAGTTAAGAAGAAAGAAGTGTTAGAAAGGCCTAGACTGCAATTCCATATATACTATTTACCTTTGATATGAAGTTCCCATCTTTAAAGTTAGGGACTAAATTTTTTTCTTTTCTTTAAGAATTTGAGAAAGAATATGTAAGATATATATTTAGAGACAGATAGATGGATAGATATTAGATATATATCATAAATACATATATTTTTATGTATACACACACATACACACACATATATTAGACAGAACACTTTTTTGCCTATGTAGCTTTTATAATGTTCTCACATGCTTCCTTCTAAATATTATTGTGCCTTATCTCCTTTCCTGACATGAAATCCCCTTATTGGTAGAGGGCATATATTTTTTATTTTAAAATTTTTGTTAATGTTTATTTATTTTTGAGATAGAGAAAGAGAGTCAGAGTGCAATCAGGGAAGGGGCAGAGAGAGAGGGAGACATAGATTCCAAAGCAGGGCTCCAGGCTCTGAGCTGTCAGCACAGAGCCAGATACAGAGCCAGATGTGGGGCTTGAACTCATGACCCATGAGATCATGACCTGAACCTAAATCAGATGTTGAACTGACTGAACCACCCAGGTGCCTCACAGGGCATATTATTCTTAAGTATAAGTACTCCACAGTGCCTAGCCAGTGCACAGAACATAGTATATTCTCAATAAGCATATGCTGATTTATCAAATAAATGAAAATCTAAACATTTCCAACATTTCTTAGAGCAGTCAGAGAGAAGAAAACAAGAAGCTGGGACACCTGGGTAGCTCAGTCGGTTGAGCGTCGACTTCAGCTTAGGTCATGATCTCATGGTTCGTGGGTTTGAGCCCCATGTTGGGCTCTGTGCTGACAGCTAGCTCAGAGCCCGGAACCTGTTTCGGATTTTGTATCTCCTTCTCTCTCTGACCCTTCCCTGCTCATGCTCTTTCTCTCTCTCTCTCTCTTTCTCCCTCTCTCTCAGAAATAAATAAAACATAAAATTTTTTTTAAAAAGAAAAAAAACCAGAAAGCTTTAACATTGTTTTACATATTTTAGTATGTTGTTTCATATTATATTGTAAGTACCATATCTAAATGCTTACCATTGACAAGCACTGCACGGCACTTTGCATGCATTATTTTGCTTATTCCTAGAAAAAAATCTATAAAGTCATAGTATTATATTAATTTTAAAGATGAGCAAATGAAGGCTTAAGCAGGAAATTTACACAATAACTGGCAGTGCCTGTGATGCCAACGATCATACTCTTAATTATTTTTATGGTTTCTCCCCATCAGCTTTAAGGTTCAGGGCATGGTTTCACAACCACAGAAATATTGACCTTTTGGATAGGATACTTCTTTGTTGGGGAGGATTGTCCTGTACATCATGAGAGGTTTAGCAGCATCCCTGGGCTCTACTCACAAGATACCTGTAGTATCCCACTCTCCAAAGTTGTGACAACCAAAAATATCTCCAGACATTGCCAAATATTCTCTGGGGAGAAAAGTCACCTACTGCTAAGTGTCACTGATTTAGAGTCACAGCTATCTCACTGCCCAGCAGCAAATAGGGGGTGTTTCTAGCAGGCAGCAAGTACGATGTGCTCAAGGAAATGAAAGAGGCCTGTCTAACCCACATGCTGGATAATCAGTTCCTGCATAATTGGGAATTGGCAGTACAGGAAACTGGACTCCAATTTAGAAGAATCACATTGAATTTCTGAAATGAAAAGAAAGCCAATTTTGCAAGCCATTCAAGATACAGGTTTGCATCAGACCCCGCCTGCTCTATTGTAAGCCCAGCAGCTTCAGCTGATGGTAAAATAGGTTTTTGTCAGAGTCCAGATGAGGGCTCAGCTTGGTGCTGTCACTGTTTTGAGTGGAACACCTGTGGTTTTGAATTTTTCCAGGGCTCCCCTGCTGCTGAATGCCATCCTGCCTGGATATTTATAGAGTTCTGCTTTGTTTTAAGTAATGCACATTGCAAAGGTACTTTGAGTCAAACTGGACTTTATGACAATCAGTTATTTGATGTAAAGATAACACATTTGGGAAGTAGTTAAAGCAAGTTTGATATGACATGACTCTAATATGTTAAAAGGGGAGGGGGCAATGGGTCATCTCACAAGGGAGATATTCTAACCAGGGGGCTGCATTACTCAAGGGACAAACAAAGCATCTACTTTTAGAACAAGCAAACAGGGCACCAGATATAGGAGAAAACATTTTTGAGGGTGAGAGAGAGAGAGTACACATGTGGCATAGGAGCAGAAGGAGATGTAGAGAATCTTAAGCAGGTTCCACACTCAGCACAGAGTGGGGCTCAATCCCAAAAACTGTGAGATCATGACCTGGGCTGAAATCAAGAGTTAGGGACATTTACTTGACTGAGCCACCCAGGCATCCCAAGAGAAAACATTTTCGAAAGCATTTAGTACTTGATATTAAAAATAAAACTATTATTTTAATTATTATGGAAGAAATAAAAATTTTGTCCATTTTTCTTGCATCTATGTAATAGCTGGTAGAATTGGGACAGAGATGATTCCAGAATTTTTATAAAGAAGCAGCTTATTGGCAGCAATCTGTGGGTCAGTGGTGTGGGGCACATGTCTGGAAACCATACTGGAATGCTTAAAGAGTAGAGAAGGAATATTGGATGGGGATTTGATAGAGGGTATGGGGGAAAGAACTAACCACCTACACCCACCGTCTAACGGACCCTACACTCTCTATAACTTATACAATAGCACAACCATGGTAAAAGGATTGAGTCTCTGATGAACTTACTTCAACCTTTAGTTTTCCAGAGCAATGATAATATTCAAAGAAATCTTGGCAATATTTGGAATGTGGGACACAAATCTTTCATTATTCTATGCTTTGTATCTCTTTACGTAGGTGGAGGGCACCATGATAATGACCCAGCAGATCATCCCAACCTTGAAAGGGATTATAGACAGGACATAAAATGTCTTATTTTCTCTCTATGCCCAAGTTTCTAGCAATTGACTTAGTGACTTAGAATAGGGCCAGGCTCATCCTTCTATCTCAGCTTATGCATCACTTCCTCCAAAAGGATGATCCTTCCAGACTGAGTTAGCTTTTCTTGCATGGCTCTTCCTTAGCCACTATGCACCTGTCTCTAACCACAGCCTTTATCACAATGTATCCTCATGGCTCATTGGTTTGCCTTTCTTCCCGTTGAACAAGAAATTCCTGAGGGAAGAGGCCCTATTGATGTCACTCACTAATGTATCCCCAGAATTCTACAAAGCATATGGAACATAAAAACATTTAACAAGTACTTGTGGTATGAATAGTTCAATGAATACATAGGTACTCAATAAATGGGTGCCAGATGAAAAGAGAAAAAAATAAATGAATAAACAATGTAATTAGTATAAATATAATTATCATCCTGACTAATGAAATTTTGGGCAGTTTTGTTTGTAGATAATTTCCCAAGAACATCACACCTCTTCTGAAGAAGAAAAGCCACATTGGATGTGTCGATGGGTGGGGGTAATTCATTCTTAAGAACATAGGAATGAGAGCTTAGACCTTTAAAATAATAAGGAAACTAGCAAAACATCCAAAAATTGATTGACATCCAAACTTGGTCTTACACACAGAATAAATATGCCCTAAACACATAATAATTTATGAAGCATGAAGATAAGAATAACTCTCTAAGGCCAAGATAGCATGCCAGATAAAAATAAGGAAGATACCATATAAGCAAGAAAGAAGCTGTGGACAGTTTCTTCTCAAAATCTAGAAAAAGAAAGAAAGAAAGAAAGAAAGAAAGAAAGAAAGAAAGAAAGAAAGAAAGAAAGGAAGGAAGGAAGGAAGGAAGGAAGGAAGGAAGGAAGGAAGGAAGGAAGGAAGGAAGGAAGGAAGGAGGAAGGAAGGAAAGAAGGAAAGAAGGAAGGAAGAAGGGAGGGAAGGAAGGAAGGGAGAACCCAGTATCTACTTCCAAATGCCTTAAAACCAGAAAGATCATTAGTCTACAGAGCACTTCTGAGGATTTAGTTTTAGATATCTCTTCGGGTTCGAGTACTACATTTAAATCTCCTGAATATTTTTGTCATTATTATATTAAATTTCAAGGTCAAATTCAAAGTAATAAACTTTTCCCCATATTCATTCTAAAGTAGTTTCTTGTGAAAAGCAATGAGAACATTAAAATATAAACTTAGAATCACATGAAATATCTAAGCACGTAATTTTATTTCAACCTCACAACATTGGTTTTCTATTTCAATGTCCAAATTACTCAAATAATGTTATTTTGATTACAACTGAATAGCAGTTTTTAAATGTCATGGTATTTGAAAGAAAAAATGACCTGGCAATCATAATATACCATTGTGTTGTATAAATTGCAAATGTGTAATTTATGTTTGTTCCTCTCCATTATATAGGGCAAATTGCCAAGGTTTGACATGAATAAATAAAATGTAAATGTTCTATGTAATCATCTATATTTATTTTTGATATCCACAAGGTTTGTATTGTTAGGTTTGCTTATTTTGGCTTTTATTTTTATTTTTACACTTTAACCTGGCCTTTTAGAAAAAAAATGAAGCTTTTCATTGCCTTAAAATATTTTTAGTGAAACCAGGTTTAGAAATAAAATTTTTCATAAGAAAAAAGTCAACTTTGAGATGATTTAAAATGTATTTTTTTAATCCAGCTTCCCAAAGGACCTGCTCATTATATGTTACTATTTTAGAATCATAGAAGATAGCTTATATGAAGTCCTGAGATCTTAAATTCCATCTTATTAATAAATTATATCTTTAAAATAAGAGAGAGAATGCTAACTCTATACTTTCTCCAAGGACTTGAAGTTATATTTCTTTCCATGATCCATATTTCAAAAGAGTTGAATAAGGAAGTTGGTTTTTCTTTTTATCTCAACATCAGATCGATGAACATATTCAAAATCATTGGAGTTATTTTTTATCTTGTTTTTCATGAATTTCTCTTTTAATTTTAATGCACTTCTCAAAGGAAACTGTTAAACTGAATTCTGATAAATATTAATTCTTCTTCCTTTACAAATATATGTTAAGATAATATAGGGCCATTGAGAAATATGTTGGTTATATATCTTTATAAATACAGATAGTTTATAAATAATTTATTTTTACAAACTAATTCTAAAAATATTTCCTGAAAAAATATTTTCAAGTTGTTTGGACTGAGAATTCATCTTTTTGCTAGAAAATTTACATTTTTGTGGCCTTTCAAAACATTCATATAAAGAAAACAACATTAAGTCATTGAAAGGATTTGGGTAATGACCTCACATTCTGAAAATGTTTTATCTTGTGGTATGCACACTTTTACATTTCAACCTTTGAGAAATTGTTGGAGAGGGGATGGCCTCTGCCTCAGGTGAGTATCAGGGCTTCTGGAATCAATTCCTAGTTTTCCTACCAAGCAGTAACTAACATTTTTCCTCTCTGAGACACTGTGTTTGATTCGTAAGCAGAGGTAATTAGTCTGGATCATTGGATGGTAAACTCTTTTTAATGAGAGCTAATTTAAGAAACAAAATCTTTAAATTATATCTTATTTTATCTTATCCTTGGAGAAAATAGATTCTCAAATAAATTTCTCACTATATCAGAGGAGATGTTTCAATAAGAAAGTATCATCTTTTTACTCAATACATGCCTGAGTATTTGAGAGGTAAAACACACATAGCTTTGTAATGTTTATTTTTAAAGTAAACCATGGACTAGCTGGATTGCATGTGGTTCTGTGATTTTGAAATGTTCGCAAGAATTGGTTATAAAGACATTTTTAGTTCAAAGTGTTTGCAGTACTCAATGTTATGGAGCAAAATTTTCTTGTTTTTGAGAACTACTATTTGGAATTTGCATTGACATAAAAATTTATATTTGTCAATCAGTTCTATAATCCATTAAAAAGTGTGTGCAGTTGAACTGTTGTGAGAATTTACTCATATATGAAATTGAAATTTGGGGGCACATTTATGATCCTTGAATTATCAATGCTATCATTTGTTTTTTTTTCAAAAAAACTTTTGAATACCAGAGCTTAGCAACAGAAAATCTAAACTGAATTTTATAGGTATTTATCACTGATTATTAAGTCTTTTAATAAAAATAAGTTAGGATATATGAATTTAATATACAAATATGAACATGAGAATGTTTTCATGTATATCAAAAACTTTGCTTATGACTCAGCATTCATAGAACCTAATATTCACATCTTGCCTTCATGAAATAAAGCAGCAGGTAGATTTCTAACAAAAATTGTCCATATTATAGGAGTCCCTGTTTATTTCTCTCAGACTCTGAAGCTTCATTAGGCATTTTTTTTTCCACTTTATTCTCCCTAGTTGGTAGAAGTAAACCTGTTCAAAGGAAACATCTAAAGGCTCAGAAGAATTTTCTCACCTCTGAGAGCATGGAATCTGCTAGTACCAGTGAGGTTGATAAAAGAAGAATGTCAAAAGGTTAGAGCAAAGATAAGTGAAGGATTGCTGCTTTATTTTTCTATGAAGTTGGAAAAGAAGTTGACCTTAGAACCTTACCTTATGTAACTTTTTGCTCAACTAATAGTATTTTTGGACTATTTAGTTGTTTGTAATCACTATTTGGCTGCCTTTTCCTAATTCATGGTTAACATTAGAAAAGTAAACAATTACCAAAACAATCTCAGCTTCCAAGGGTTTAGTCGCTTTTGATATTGTCACTGGGGGTGAGGCTGCAATCTGTGCCCTCCTTTTGGCCTTCTGTGTCTGAAGGTTGGTAAAGTAGTTGACAGCGGCAAATTCAATAAGAGCAGAGAAGACAAAAGCAAAGCAAACAGCTATGAACCAGTCCATGGCAGTTGCATATGACACTTTTGGCAAGGAATGCCGGGCACTGATGCTTAATGTGGTCATGGTTAAAACAGTGGTGATCCCTAAAATGAAAAAGAATGAGAAATGCAGTATTAGCATTTGGAATCTGACAATAACATCAACTGACAATGTGTTGGTGGATTAAACAGTCTGCAAATGTTATTTTTGTTATTTTTGTTTTTCTTAATGTTTATTTATTTTTGAGAGAGAGCACAAACAGGGAAGGGACAGGCAGAGAAAGAAGGAAACACAGAATCTGAACCAGGCCACAGGCTCTGAGCTGTCAGCACTGAGCCCAAGTGGGACTTGAACCCACAAACCATGAAATCATGACCTGAGCCAAAGTCAGTTGCTTAACTGGCTGAGCCACCCAGGTGCCCTTGTTACTGTTTTAAATAGTTGACAATTACTCTCACAGGTATTAAAATTTTTGTATCCTTAAATACCCAGTGCAGTGGCATGTACACTGGAATTGATCAAAAAATATATTTGATTTGATTTAGTTTAACTATTGTAAAGTTTAACTCACAGATAATTCTAGTTGTTTACTTCTTAAGAAAACTCAAAGCAAATCATTATCACATAAGAACTAAAACATTGAATTCGTGGTCTATCTGAATAGATGACAATATCTATTATCATATTTAAGAAACCTATCTGGTATGAATAGTAAACATAAATTAAGTCCCTCATTTTTAAAAATTTCTAGCTTGGTATTATGGTAAAATATTTACTCATGAGAAAATAATTTCATCACTGAGTTGTCAGCAGTTTTATGACTTGTATTATACTTGGGGGATTTATGTAATTTTAAGATGGTCAACATCATTATATAGATATTCTTATAATTCACAGAAGGAGATCTATTTTAATATAGTAAATTAGAAAGTCAAAATTCATCTGAGATTTCAGTTCAACTCAGGTCTTCCCTATGAACTTCTAAATGTATAATCATGAAAAGTCAGAAAAAATTGGACTTTGCTATTGATGGTATTTTCAGTTACAGCTCTTTCTCATTTCATTTTATTCCATCAAAACTAATAGTGCTTCTATATTCCATAAATGGAACTCATTATTTATGTTGAACTATGGGCAATTGGTTTTATTTAACTATTTTTAGATCTAGAAAATGGCAACTTTTTACAGTTCAATCCAATAAAAGCAAAATTTAATTTATATATTAGATATAATTTATGTATCAGGGTTCAATATTTTAGCTTTGTTTTCATGGATCTATAGGTCAGTTTTTACCTTTCTGTTTTTCCTTAGTTATAAAAAAGCAAATTAAGATTTTATTTTATATTTTGCTGTTCATTTATTTATTTTTTAGAGCAAGAGAGCAAGAGAGAGTGGGAGAGGAGAGAAGAAAGGGTCAGCTGTCAGCACCAAGCCCCACTCAGGGCTCGAACTCATGAACAAGGAGATAATGACCTGATTCCAAATCAAGAGTTGGTACCTTAACTGACTGAGACACCCAAGCATCTTGAGATTAAAAAAGAAAGAAAGAAAGAAAGAAAGAAAGAAAGAAAGAAAGAAAGAAAGAAAGAAAGAAGGAAAGAAAGATCCCTCCTTAACAGGGCACGTGAAAGTCACAGGAATCCAGCTAGAATTCTTGCTAAGACAAACTTTTTGTGGATTTACCACACAGCTTGGGATAATATAAGGATCATTTTATGTAATACATATGCCTGAATAAGATAGGAGTCTATTTCCTTTGTGGATTGAAAAAGTGCACTAGTGTGAATATTCACCTAAAATACACCATCAATAATTGGATGTGTGAAGGATGAGTGAAGTATAGCCAAAGAATGAAGCATACCAAAGACAGTCCTGGCTGGGACAGACTCCTTATTAATCCAGAAAGACACCTGGGAAAGAATGACTGTCATAATGCAAGGAGTGTATATCTGTATCATGAAGTAGCCCATCTTCCTTTGCAAGTGGAAATAAACTGTCATTATTACATATTCACCTGTTGGAAGACACGTATATCAGTATTATTACTCTTGACAGTGTGCAAAAAGAATGCAGCTGGAAATAAATCTTGCAGATCTTTAAATTAACATGAGCTGGAAGAAAACAAGGAGAGGCATATTTCAATGTATGACAAAGATACTTAATCAGTGGATGATAGATATATTGGCTGTTTCAGTGGTGTTCTTTGTGTCATATACATAGAAAACTACTCATCCCAAGGTTACACAAATCTTTATATGCACATGGTTGCAAAATCAGTTTTAAAGAAAGCTACTCATCACTTCAAAACAGCAAGCATAACTGAGGATGGTTAATACAGAGAAGAAAGAAATAGATACTTTGGAAATGTGCACTGGAGTCACCTTGCTGGGTTACATTCATGAGTTGGTCTAATTCTTACCTGTGTTAGATTTAATTGTCTCACTAGATACTGTTTGTCCAATCAGATCATACTGGAGGAGGCTTGAAGATTCTTCTGGGACTTCAACTGAGTAAAGTGGTCCTTTTTTCCATGTATATATGATTTCACTTTTGGGGTAAGCATCTGAATTTTTTAAACAAATAGCAGTGAATTTGACTAGCTGTGTTTTTCTTTTTCAAAGCAACTCTGGTCCGTATAAAAAGGAAGTACAAACATAAATTTTCTTTAATGGCTTTCTTTACTCTGGGTGACTAAAGTCTCTGACTATTTATAAGACTGACAGACATGATTAAGTAAGTATATTCCTGGAATCACACTGAGAGTATCAGTATCTTTTGCTTCCCAGTTTCTGACTATAATCAAATTATTATATATTTTGAATGCATTATTTGGCTCTTAGAAGCCTTTTGTAACTTACAACTCCCAAACTTGAGTGGACAAGCATGCCCATCCATAGGAAAGTTAACCAGCCTCATAGGACAGTCTGCATTGATGGTAAGCCTAGGGACATTGAAATAAATGGTTCTGAGTTAGCATGATGAACAAATTATTTGGGTAGAGGAAGTTAAGTTGGGCAAACCTTACCTCATAGTGTATAAAATGGTTCCATTCTGCATTATTCTGAAGAGTTTATTAGGGGTTGTCATATTGTGAGCAATTGATTTTTTGCCATTCCTGAAAAAAGTGTCAGGTGTCCAGATCTTACTGACCATCAGATTATTCAAACTCAGAATTTCAGTTGGCCCCCCAAACTTCAACCTTTCATCAGTCCAAGTCTGGCGGAAGAAAACATCCATTGTATATTCCTAAGAAAAGAATAAGATATTCACGCAAGCTGGGGAGATAGTTTATTAAGAATAGTTGATTCACTAGTTTATATGCCCAAATCTAAAATTAAGAAATAAAGCAACTTTTTATGACAATAGCCTATCAGAAAAAATATTATTTCAGTAAATTATTTTTTTCAAACTCAAAGTCAGCAATGTTATTATAAAAGATAGTATTGTGTTGTGTAAACCTCCCTCCTCCACCTTGACCCTCTTCCACATTCTTCCTCCTTTCTATTAGTCATCCATGTCTCCATCTATTGGCCTATCAATTTTTCCCTCATTAGCTTAGAAGAAAAATATGAAAAGATTTACAGTCTAGGTTTTGTGTTGGCCTTCCCACCATCAGTTAGTCTAAACATTCCCCTCAATGTCCACATTCAAAGGTGTCTCCAAGAACCCTGGCACTATTTAGTAACCTTCCAAGGATAGACAAACTTTACATGATGAATGTACTATGGCTGCACATCATAATTATTTTATATTATTCTCAGAGAACATAAAAGCAAATGTTACAACAATTACTCAGAAGATCATTTAAGTATGCATAATTAGAATTTTGAGTTTTAATTTGTGGCTTTTATGAAATAACATTAGAAATCTTAAGAATTATGGTGAAGGCCATTGCAAAAGTCAATAATAAGTAACAGCTTGTAAGTATATCAAAATATTGCCAATAATTGCTTTGCCTACTTTATATGTTCCTTTATGAGACCTTCTGTTACAAGTGGTGATTAGATTTTCAAAGTATAATTTGACACTCAATATAGCCATATAATAATGGTCCAGGGTATTGGATCATAGTGATCTCCACTACACAAATATACTTGAAAAATGAGACACATACATAAAATGAAGTTCCAAGTGTTTCCCAGACTTCAATAATAAAGTATAATATACTTGTAGTTATTTATTCTGGAGGTGAGTCAGTACTCAATGAAAAATATGATATAAAATAATTGAGGATTCAGGATAATGCTGACTTCCCCTTCTTTCAAATCTTAATACACTTATCTCTTAAATAAAGTCCTCCTCCTTCTCCTTCACTTCCCTGTTTTCTTTCTTACTTTTTTCTCTTCCTCCCCGTTTCCTTTACTCTTGTACTACTTCATTTTTTCTTTTCTTCCCTTCTTGTTTTTTTTCTTTTCTTGGCAACTCAAAAAGCAGAAGATAAAATGTTTCCAATAACTACTTATCAACAGTTACATTTTCCTAATTAATGAGGCAACTATTTGAAATTTATTTTTACTTCAATTTTAGTATTTATATTTTACTTTTAGGGATAGATAATACCTGAGAACTATGAAAAAAATATCATGATACACTTTGTTCTAGAAGACTACTTCAGATTTTCATTGCTACTTACTATAAATACTCTCTTACAAATCCTACAGCCATCTGTACCTGGAACAGAGTTCCCAGAACACCTACTGGTCCATTTGTAACACAACAGGTACAACACTAGCCTTTCCAAATGATGCTCTTTACTCTTTTAGTAAAATATGCTGAGAATGATGTGCTACAGAAAATAGCTATATTTTAAGTTTCATAGATATTCTCAATATATTCTTACATGGCATTCATCTTTGTTGGTTTTTCTTTTTTCTACTCTAAAAATTGTCCAGGACTTCATAAAGATGGGGAAAATCTTATCTTTGTAGAAAATAATTGGTGCGTGATATATGGCCAGAAGAGAGGGTATCCCCTTTAAAAAGTTCCTTAGGTTAAAGTGTTCAAGCAGAGTAGTGAAATGTGAGGGAGATTAAGCCAGGAATCTGCTCTACCAGCCATGCCCTCCCAGCATGAGCTCACAGATTGTGTTAGGACTCTGGAGCCAAGCTTGGTAACAATGCCCAATACTGTTAGTTCTGGGACTCTGCCCTCCCTCCACTAAGTAAAACTGCCCTCTTCACTCAGAGCTCACTCACCATCTCCACATCTGATACAGGCCCAAAACTGGTCACATAAATGTCTGTTTTGACTTCAGTGACAGCACCTGAAATTAGCCCAGAAGAATGGGGGCAATTATCACCAGTGATGTTAAGGAGATTGAACTTAATGACCCTACCACAAAGTCCCTTATTCTGGTCAGAATCTGCAACCTATCCTAAAGCAATCTCAGTAGCAGGACCCCTTGGGTTTTTCAACTCTGAAAACTCATACCAGGTGCATTATTTTGAAACTTTTTCAGTCAATTTGCGGAAATTAAGACATGCAAGAGAACTAAGTTAATACTCTAATAAAGACTATAACAATAACTAACACATCTTGATAGCTTTAATGGGACAAATGTTAAGAAAAGTGCTTTACATGAAGAATCTCACTCTATACTCACACAACTCTATGAGTCAAACACTGTTCATACATCCACACTACAGTTGAGGAAAATGAGACTTAGAGGGCTCAAATATATTCATAAAATGCCACAAAGAGAGGAAGGGACAGATACCCGATGGGAACACATGGCCTCACCCAGTACCTCTGCACCTTACCACTCTGCTATCCTTCTGAAGCCTCTGGATCTTAGAAGAGCAGGAAGGGAGATGTTTGGTCTAGTAGAGATACTGCCTCTCACCTCCAAATCCTGGCCGCAGACGATTGTCATAGCCTTCAAGCAAGTTGTCTAGGATCCGACTGATGTTTTCTGAGTAGAAGTTTCCTTCATCTTCAAGTTTCCCTAGGGTATTTTCTACCCTGTTAGTAGATAGTCAGTGATCCTCACTCCCAGCGTCATAGAAAAAAGGCTGTCCAATCCACCCTCATATACTCCACCACAAATACATGCCACACCACCCAGGCTTCTTCCATGATTTGGCATAGAAGTAACCCAGAGGGTGTGTGCTTTCACTTTCCTTAGCACTGAAGAGAAAAAACAAAATGTTACTCACCATAGAATAATGTATAGCCAGGGCAGAGGCGACGCCATCCTGCAGTGCATTACAATGACCCAGTTCACCCTCCTCCTGGGTTCTCCTCCCTCCTAACAATCTCCCCTTTACCAATCAACTAGAGTAATCTTCCAGACCCCACATATTTCTTTTCCCTATTTGCATCCAGCCAGTAATCTGTAGATGAAGAGGTTACCAGCAAAATTTTGAAGGTTCCCCTGGCTCTCTTGTTCTCGTTTCTGCCTTTTCATGAGGAACAAGGTGGCTTGTGGTCTTAGACTACATCCTGATGGACACTCAGCCTCTTCTGGTAGACTCAGTTGGGAAATGAGAGTCTGAAGGGAAAGTGTATGGTCGGAGAGCAGTGACAATAATTGAATAAGGCATTAGGGGAGATTAGAAGGAAGAAATCCACTGCTAGTTTTGGCATGGAATTAGCAGGTCCCTGTGAGGAAATCTGGAAAGCTGTGGCATCTTGCTGATTGAGATTATGTTCCAATGGGCTCAGCATTTATTATTTCTGTGGTTCACAGAAGGACTCTGACACAGCTCTTGCTGCTTAAAAAAAATCTAACAATATTGAGATCCTTTTGGATTATCTTTCTGATTTCATCAGCATTATTGCATCAGATGCACCTTTCCTCCACATTTAAAATTGCCTGTCATTATTCATTGAAAAGCACTTAAAATATACTTGAACAACTCCTGGTTGTCTTGCTGTTGGGTTAATGTTTTCTGTTAGTTTGGTTTGGTTTGTTTGTTTAAGTACTTTACTTATCCTTCCTGTCAAAGATATGTCATCTCAAGGTAGGACATAAATGGATTCTACCACTATCTTTAGAAACCTGGCCATTTTCATGGATGTTGCCTATAAGAGACAATGTCTGGAAATAGCTGATTAAGGTTTCCCATGTAGAAATACTGTAAGGATAAAGCATCCATGGATATGGTTAATGCTGATGTTGCTGGTACTATTTTATTAGGTTTGCCACAGGTCAACAGAGAAATGTTTGAACTGAAGAAATAGCATCCTCTACCTAGTCTGGTAGATGGAAGTTGGAGGAAAGGAAGTCGCTTTAAGCCTTTTAATCTTTAAATAAAAAATTTTAAATGGCAATAAAGAAAAGCATTGTGAAATCCCATCTCATACGTGTATGTGTGTGTATATATATATATATATGTATATATATGTACATACATATATATATGGTCTTAGACTACATCCAGATGGACTTAGACTACATCCTGTGTATGTATATATATACACAAATATATATATGTATATGTGTATATATATATGTATATTTGTGTATATATATACACATATATATTTATATTAAAATATACATATATTTATATTAAAATGCATATATATTTATATTAAATATATATATTTAAATAGTAATTCAGGAACATAAGAAATAGAAGCAAGTGTCTCACATCACCATCTTCCTGCCAGATCTACATGGCATTCACCCAGTTCACAGTCTGTAGCTTCAGAATCTAAATACTACAAAGGTGACTGTTACTATTTCAGACACAGAGCACAGTCTTAAGAGTAATTTCTGAAGGCATGACATAAATTAATTGTGGAACATTTCAATAAATTTTCCCCTCTCCCCCACCCCCTATCAACCCTCAGTTTGTTCTCTGTATTTAAGAGTTTCTTATGATTTGCCTCCCTCCCTCTCTGTTTGTAACTATTTTTCCCCCTTCCCTACCCTCATGGTCTTCTGTTAAGTTTCTCAAGATCCACATATGAGTGAAAACATGATATCCGTCTTTCTCTAATTTATTTCACTTAGCATAATACCCTTCAGTTCCATCCACATTGCTGCAAATGATATGATTTCATTCTTTCTCATTGCTATGTAATATTCCACTGTATATATAAACCACATCTTCTTTATCCATTCATCAGTTGATGGACATTTAGGCTCCTTCTATAATTTGGCTATTGTTGAAAGAGCTGCTATAAACATTGGGGTACATGTGCCCCTATGCATCAGTACCCCTGTATCCCTTGGGTAAATTCCTAGGAGTCTTGCTGAGTCATAGGGTAGTTCTATTTTTAGTTTTTTGAGGAACCTCCACACTGTTTTCCAGAGTGGCTGCACCAGTTTGCATTCACATCAGCAGTGCAAAAGGGTTCCTGTTTCTCCACATTTTCAATTCTCATTGATTGTATGGTTACTTATAAACCCTATGGTATATATGATGCTATGAAAATCTTCTCTGTTCATTTCGCTATAACTTACTATTTTTATTCAAGCATAAGACTCTGTATTTATCACTCTAAACTTGCATGATTAGTTCCTACCAATATGTTTACCATCCGTCTCTGATTTCTATTCAGGGAGAAAATTATTTAGGTGTTAAGGTGTTAAGACTGGATTTTTTTTTCAGGTGGTAAAAAAAAATGATCATGGGTGAGACTGTGTACTTATAGACCTACTCCTATAGAATGGCCATATTTTTCTTTTAAAACTATTTACTTAAGAAGAACAAATAATAGTTAAGTCACATTTGTCTCTAAAGAGAATATTAACATACTTGATTCCATTTTCTAATGGGTTTTAATTAGTAACCAATTAAAGAAAGAGGAGAAAGACTTTCTCTACTCTCAGGAGGGAAAAAAATCCTAGATCTGGAAGGGTAATAAGTATGTAATCTTAGTCATTTCATATCTGTAGATCCCACCTTTGAATGTGCTAGATTTAGGGCACTCAAATTTTGTAATTCTGTGGGTTCTAATCATATTCTGGTGTCTGTATGTAATGAAGTCCTTTGTTCACACATCTCTGTCTGAATTGGATCAAATTAAATTAGCAGTATTGTTAATTTGATTACAATTATTATTTTCTCATGGGCCTAGCCATTAAAAAACATGACAATGGCAATTACTTTGAGAAATGTATGACCATTTATATAGCATTCTGACTATGCAAACTAAGCATCTGGGGTTCCCCTTATTTAGAGAATTACCTTCTTCTGATAAATGTGAAAACATTTATCTCACACCTATCCATTTCACAGTTGTTTTTCCAAAATATTTTTAAAATTACTTTGGACAACCATTTGCTTTCTTTGATGTTTGTCTCCACCAGAAAGCCTAGGCCTACCATAACTTTCCAATAATATTGCTATTAATATGCTGAACTTGTTAGAAGGAAAATGTGAATAGATTAGATCTAACTCCCTTTTTTGTTCTAAACCTTAACCCCTGTACCATTACCAACAACAAGGTTTGTACACATAAAATCACTAACAAAGACTCAGGGATGATTAGATAAAAGTACTGCACAGAAAAAGCAAAGTTGGCACCAGACATTAAATATTACTTTTATGATAGAAAAGAGGCATTATTGTAGAAGGGGATTGAACGAAAAGATTCTAGTATTTATGTACCTACTTCCAAGCTAGTAAGGACTTGAAACATTTTTCCTGTCTGCTTAGAAACTGTTATGGAGAGCAAGTCAGTCTAAAAATAATAAATGCAATTTAAGACTGTATCAGTGGAAATTAATATAATATTAATAACTACCAAATATTTAACATTTACCATATTCATACAATTATGTTAAGAACTCCACGTCATTCACTATTAACACAAAAATTTATGAGTTGTTTATAATTGAGTTCATTTTGTAAATCAGCAAGGACGTAATTTGCCTAATCTCACAGCTAAAAAGTGGCAGAATCAGAATTCAAAACCAGGTATAAACTAAGGCCATGGGGTAGAAGCCAGTGAAAAATAAATTTCCATTCTATTAAAGAAATAATTTCTAATTGTGGTATTTATCCAAAAAAGGAACAGGTACCAAAGAAGAAAATGAGTTTCCTGTTAACATAATATAGTATATCATGAAACGCCATGGATATGTTTCATGAATGTAAGTTTCAGGAGGAAATTACATAATCCCTAAGAACACTCGGTAGGAGATTGAGGCTACTTGGGAGTCATCCCAAGGAAGAGGTTTTTGATAGAGACTTTGAATGAATATTTGTGAGGTTTTTTTAAATGTTTACTTTTATTTTTATTTTTGAGAGTACACAAGCTGGGGAAGGACAGATAGAGAGAGCAAGACAGAGAATGTGAAGAGGCTCTACATTGTTAGTGCAAAACCCAACATGGGACTTAAATTCACAAATGTGAGATCATGACTAAACAGAAGTCAGATGCTTAACTGACTAAGCCACCCAGGCACTCCCCAAGTGAATATTTGGACGCAAAGATTTTGTTATGGAGTTACTCTGGAGTGATGTGAGAAGGGGGATTTAAAGAGCTTCCTAGTGGTAAAATGGATCTTGGAAATACTGGACAAGAAAACTATTAAAGGAAGAAGAAAAAGTGGTAGATTATATAACAGTTAATATTTATGAATGCTTACTATATTTCAGTTGTGTACACTGTTATTATCTCTAATCCATGCAACTGCCTTACAAGGCAGCAATTTTCATCTTTATTTTACCAAAGGATAAACTGAGGCTTCCAACAGGTATGTAACTACCTTAATGTCCTAAAGCTAGTTATTACCTTTGATTCCAAATTATACACTATTATTCACTATGCTTTATGTATGACAACTGTGACTCCATTTTCTAAAGTTGGTCCTCTTAAACTCTCTGGACCAACTATATATATATACGACTATATATATATTATATACATATATATATAATATATATATATATATATTGTTAAGGGATATCCAACCTCTCAATGGACACTGTAGAAAATTCCCATGCAATGTTGTTTGGGAATCCAGTGCAATAAGGATAAAATTGCTCTGGGAAACAAAGGACAATAAAGGGACAGTCCTCTGGTTACCAGCTTTAAATTGTTGTGGTTTAGTTAGCAATAGAACATTGAACACATTATAGGGCACAAACGTATAGGCAGGCAATATCAATTTCAAATCTTAAAACACCAATATGAAGGGACCAAAAGTCATGTCAGGGGGCCTAGGCTCAGTCGGTTAAGTGTCCCATTTCACCTCAGGTTATGATCTCACGGCTTGTGAGTTTGAGCCCCGAG